ATGTACAATATTCGTTCTTATTTATAGTTTAACAATGCTGCCCTTCTTTTGTTGAACTGTTACACATTTTATAACACTGACCTTGAGTACAATTACATATTGTGATCCGAGATACAATCAAATCGACTTCTGAACGGGTCTCAGGAACGTAACATTGTTCGTAAGCTGAGGACTGTTTGCAATTGGAAACTTCATCTTCCCCTCCGTGACCCATTGGGTTAAAAAATATTATATATGTATAGTACTGCCCTTCAGCATTAAAGTGCCTCAGCTATAAGATAACGAACAAGCTAACAGAATTCCAGATCCAGAAGAACGCTGGCGAACAGAGTGGAACAATTGGGGACATCCACCATAAACACCTCATTCATTCAAAACCCAAACATCACACCACATGGGCTTTGCCATTCCTCAAAAAGACACTGGCATAACCATCAACCGCGGAAGAACACCAACAGGATGCTGCGCACAGCTCCTTCGCGAATGTAAAATAAATGACAAGCCAGAGCAATGTGACTGTGGCCAACTCAAAACAATGACACTCATCAGAAAGTTGCCCGACACTTGCCACTCAGCCTTAAGACCCTCACCAGCTCTCGATTACCGCGCCGTGTAGGCGGTGTGCAATGAGGGGTGGCGCGCACAACCCATTGAAATTAGTGGACTGGTCAAGGTTTATGGCCAAGGGTCAAAGGTCATTCGTCAAATTCGACTCCAAAGGTCCCCTGAGTTCTTACAACCTGAATCGGGCCTCACCAGAGCCTGCGCCAATGATTGCTACTCAGCATATGCAGTGACTAGCAGAATAGTAAAAATTCCTGTGGGGAAAAAAAAATATATGTTTAAATGTGAAGATGGCATCCAATCAAAATCTCTGCCCTCATTCTTCTGCTGCTATTCTCAGTGCTCTTCTCCAGCAGCTCACAATATTTTTTTCCATCTCTAGGAAGACATCGAATTTACTCACTTCGTCAAGTCATGCGTATTACATTGCCGATTCATAATTTAATTGATAGTGGAATGTATTACAAATGTAAACTCCGCATTAATATGATGGAATTAAGCTGCGGTAACGACGTTAAATAGATGAATGCATGCGGGGTATATGGAGGTGCAGGCTATCCGAAATTAGTTTTACACAAAACGCTATTTTTGCGGAGTATATGCGTCTGCGGGTTATATGCGTATGCGGGCTATATGCGGGAAAATACGGTAGATGCCGGATAAATACAGTAAAACCTTGGATTTGCGAGCATAATTCGTTCCGGAAACGTGTTTGTAATCCAAAGCACTCGTATATCAAAGCGAAATTCCCCATAAGAAATAATGGAAACTCAGGTGATTTGTTCCACAACCCAAAAATATTCAAATAAGATGATTAATACAAAATACCTTTTCATATTTTTATTATGGAAATTTAATATAAAGTAATCAAATTTATTAATTAATTTTAATCGTGGCTGGTGTGAGGGAGACGAGAGAGAGGAGAGGAGGAGGGGCCATTGTTGCAGTACAGTTACTAAAGAACAATGACTACACTTGGACACAAAATAAAAAAATGCTTTAAGCACACACATGTGGTCACAACACTATAGTACTGTAGTAAACAATATACACGTGGTCACAAACTATAGTACTGTAGTGAACAGTATACACGTGGTCACAACACTTTAGTACTGTAGTAAACAGTATACACGTGGTCACAACACTATAGTAAACAGTATACACGTAGTCACAACACTATAGTACTGTAGTAAACAGTATACACGTGGTCACAACACTATAGTACTGTAGTAAACAGTACACACGTGGTCACAACACTATAGTAAACAGTATACACGTAGTCACAACACTATAGTACTGTAGTAAACAGTATACACGTGGTCACAACACTATAGTACTGTAGTAAACAGTATACACGTGGTCACAACACTATAGTACTGTAGAAAACAGTATACACGTGGTCACAACACTATAGTACTGTAGTAAACAGTACACACGTGGTCACAACACTGTAGTACTGTAGTAAACAGCATACACGTGGTCACAACACTATAGTACTGTAGTAAACAGTACACACGTGGTCACAACACTATAGTAAACAGTATACACGTAGTCACAACACTATAGTAAACAATATACACGTGGTCACAACACTGTAGGACTGTAGTATACAGTATACACGTGGTCACAACACTATAGTACTGTAGTAAACAGTATACACGTGGTCACAACAATATAGTACTGTAGTAGACAGTATACACGTGGTCACAACACTATAGTAAACAGTATATGCGTGGTCACAACACTATAGTACTGTAGTAAACAGTATACACGTGGTCACACCACTATAGTATACAGTATACACGTGGTCACAACACTATAGTACTATAGTAAACAGTATACACGTGGTCACAACACTATAGTACTGTAGTAAACAGTATACACGTGGTCACAACACTATAGTAAACAGTATACACGTAGTCACAACACTATAGTAAACAATATACACGTGGTCACAACACTGTAGGACTGTAGTATACAGTATACACGTGGTCACAACACTATAGTACTGTAGTAAACAGTATACACGTGGTCACAACAATATAGTACTGTAGTAGACAGTATACACGTGGTCACAACACTATAGTAAACAGTATATGCGTGGTCACAACACTATAGTACTGTAGTAAACAGTATACACGTGGTCACACCACTATAGTATACAGTATACACGTAGTCACAACACTATAGTACTGTAGTAAACAGTATACACGTGGTCACAACACTATAGTACTGTAGTAAACAGTACACACGTGGTCACAACACTATAGTAAACAGTATACACGTAGTCACAACACTATAGTACTGTAGTAAACAGTATACACGTGGTCACAACACTATAGTACTGTAGTAAACAGTATACACGTGGTCACAACACTATAGTACTGTAGAAAACAGTATACACGTGGTCACAACACTATAGTACTGTAGTAAACAGTACACACGTGGTCACAACACTGTAGTACTGTAGTAAACAGTATACACGTGGTCACAACACTATAGTACTGTAGTAAACAGTACACACGTGGTCACAACACTATAGTAAACAGTATACACGTAGTCACAACACTATAGTAAACAATATACACGTGGTCACAACACTGTAGGACTGTAGTATACAGTATACACGTGGTCACAACACTATAGTACTGTAGTAAACAGTATACACGTGGTCACAACAATATAGTACTGTAGTAGACAGTATACACGTGGTCACAACACTATAGTAAACAGTATATGCGTGGTCACAACACTATAGTACTGTAGTAAACAGTATACACGTGGTCACACCACTATAGTATACAGTATACACGTGGTCACAACACTATAGTACTATAGTAAACAGTATACACGTGGTCACAACACTATAGTACTGTAGTAAACAGTATACACGTGGTCACAACACTATAGTACTGTAGTAAACAGTATACACGTGGTCACAACACTATAGTACTGTAGTAAACAGTATACACGTGGTCACAACACTATAGTACTGTAGTAAACAGTATACACGTGGTCACAACACTATAGTACTGTAGTAAACAGTATACACGTGGTCACAACACTATAGTACTGTAGTAAACAGTATACACGTGGTCACAACACTATAGTACTGTAGTAAACAGTACACACGTGGTCACAACACTATAGTACTGTAGTAAACAGTATACACGTGGTCACAACACTATAGTACTGTAGTAAACAGTACACACGTGGTCACAACACTGTAGTACTGTAGTAAACAGTATACACGTGGTCACAACACTATAGTACTGTAGTAAACAGTACACACGTGGTCACAACACTATAGTAAACAGTATACACGTAGTCACAACACTATAGTAAACAATATACACGTGGTCACAACACTGTAGGACTGTAGTATACAGTATACACGTGGTCACAAGACTATAGTACTGTAGTAAACAGTATACACGTGGTCACAACAATATAGTACTGTAGTAGACAGTATACACGTGGTCACAACACTATAGTAAACAGTATATGCGTGGTCACAACACTATAGTACTGTAGTAAACAGTATACACGTGGTCACACCACTATAGTATACAGTATACACGTGGTCACAACACTATAGTACTATAGTAAACAGTATACACGTGGTCACAACACTATAGTACTGTAGTAAACAGTATACACGTGGTCACAACACTATAGTACTGTAGTAAACAGTATACACGTGGTCACAACACTATAGTACTGTAGTAAACAGTATACACGTGGTCACAACACTATAGTACTGTACTAAACAGTATACACGTGGTCACAACACTATAGTACTGTAGTAAACAGTACACACGTGGTCACAACACTATAGTACTGTAGTAAACAGTATACACGTGGTCACAACACTATAGTACTGTAGTAAACAGTATACACGTGGTCACAACACTAGTACTGTAGTAAACAGTATACACGTGGTCACAACACTATAGTACTATAGTAAAAGTATACACGTGGTCACAACACTATAGTACTGTAGTAAACAGTATACACGTGGTCACAACAGTATAGTAAACAGTATACGCTCGCACAGATGTTGACTATACGAGTGAGGCACGGCGACTGAGACCGAGCATGGGAGACGATTACCCACAATCCCGCAGCGAGAGAGAGAGAGAAGAACCATTGGCTCAGTTGTCATCACGTGACGCTCGGCAGACAAAGCCTATACGTACTGCTCGTATTGCAAGACCCCTCGCTCGTTTATCAAGTTAAAATGTATTGAAAAAATTTTCTCGTCTTGCAAAACACTCGCAGACCAAGTTACTCGCAAACCAAGGTTTTACTGTACAATGATTGCGGTATGTTCAGTGAAAGCAGCGCGCTTTTCTTTAGGGGTTTTTGTTGTGTGCGTGTAAAGTATAATATCAAAGCCTGCTGCTGCAAAGAGAGAGCATGATGCGTGCCCCTACCTGTACGCTGTAGATCCCGGGCAGATCCGTGAGCACCTGGGTGATGCTCTGCACGCACGACTGGCACGTCATGCCTTCCACGGTGAATGTGGCGTGCCACACCTCCATGTCGGCCTTTACTTCCACGCCGGCCTTCACCTCCTCCTCCTCCGCCATGCCCAGCGGCTCACGGTGCTCCGTTTTCAAGCCGCACGTTGCCGCCTCGCGCCGAAGCCCTGCGCCAAGCACACAAGAGTGAACGTAACAGCACGTCTGTCAAAAACGCCGTGTGGCCTTAAAAGAGAAAGAGTGTGTGATAAGGTGGCATCTCGGGCAATGGCCCTTTCTTCATTCACACCTCCAATTAGCACAGTTGGCTACATATGGCAAGAAAAAAGTTCAACATACATAGAGGAGAAATATGAAATAGTCAATCTTGATTTGAAGCTTTCGTGACTGCGGGAATCCATACTCTTGGGTTCTTTCGGTAAAGTCACGTGGGTAGAATTTTTTTTAAATTTCTACCTACGTGACTTTACCGAAAGAACTGTGTATCTCAATACACGTATAATTGTACTTCATCGACAAGTGGATTGGCAGAGGGGGAACAAAAGGATGCGAGTTAATATTATGATCGTAGTGGTACATCCCATTGTGTGATAAAATACAAAACATGGCAAATAACAGGGGGTGGTCGTTAAGAGGGGTTCGACTTTGTCTTTGTCCAAGTAATAAAACAAAAACAATTAAGATTTACAGCCCTGTGTCAATCCACACTGGGATGAAGGTCTCCCCCTGTGCTGTCGGTCGTGGGTTGCTGATGGGGAGAAAGCAGGGAGGGGACAGGACCAGTTCAAGACCATCACTCGCCGCTGATGTTATCCATGATCATGGAATCAAACTCAGGTCACCAGTTTCATCGCGCAGTGTGCTAACTGCTTGTGCACCACTGCTCTCCAGGTTATAATGGCTTTATGTACACATGTTGAACTTCTTCCGCACCGTACATAGACAAAGAGGTTCAACATACATAAATGCATTAAAACCTGGGAAGCAGGTTTATATTGCAATATTTTCTCATTCAGCCAAACAGGAATGTCAATGGATTTTGACAATTTGCTGAACTTTATTTGCTCCTCTCTCCCATCCTGAGAAAAGTCCTGTATTGTTGGCTCTAATTATAGGATGCAATACTGTAATGAAAGTGGTACGGATGTTTGGGATTTTGTTCTCAGAAATAAACGGATGAACCTTTGAAACACCACTTTGAACTTGTTTTACAACTTTTTGGCAAAATTTTTTTATCACGGCTTCAAAGAAAGACATTTGGCTTTCTTAAAAGCTACAGAAGTGCTGATAAAATGGAAGAAATGCAACCATTTTCCATTCCGAGGCATCTGCAAATTGCAGGGTGGGTGTTCTGTTCACCGCTGAATCTCATAACGCGCAAGCAGGTTAGCGTTAATTTTATTGAGAGAGGCGGCGTGCCGTTGTTTGTAAACACATTGTACTCAACGCAGAGAACTGTAGCGACGCGACCACATTCTATGATAGCTGGCGCCAAACTGTGCCACACACCCTCCTGCATGGCCTTGTGGGAACCTCGTTACAGATAAAGTTTTCTTTTCTTCCCCATTTTCTTTCGGGATCGATGACGTGTCCGTACGTACACGACGTCAATGCACGTACGTCATCGGAATGGGAAAGGGTTAAAAATACGGTGGAACCATTCCTAATGGAGACAGTGAAAGTGGAAAGAAATGGGTGACATTAGAAAGTATTCTCCGAACGGAAGAACGGAGAGATGCATAACAAATACGTCCAACTTCCAAGGAAAGAGATTTATATAAAAAATATATATCATAAAAATAATGCATCCAAGAAAAATAAAAATATCTAAATGCAATGGCGGAGCCAGGATTTTCAGGTAGAGGGGGGCAACCCCTCCAGCAATGAAAAATGATAGAGGAGTTCATATTCTTAGCTCTTTCGGTAAAGTCACGTTGAAGGGAAACAATAAAATATATATAAGAAAATAAAAATTCTCACGACGTTTCGACCATAACGCAAACGGTCATCATCATGTGTGAAAACCCAACGGCAAGAAACATTTGAAATAAGTGGTGGTCCGCATTTATTTATTTTAAACGATGTTTGTATTCATTTATTTATAAAAAACCGTTAGCACCACGGGCAGCGATTTGGCAGTTTATTTAGAAGAGTCCATCTATGTTCTGAAGTTGTTAGTAAGTAAGGACTTGTCCCTTGCTTTTTATCCGACGCGTGTGCGGCGATGGAGCAGCCATCGATCGAGGGTCGAATTGCGAACCGCGTTGTGTGATCGCCATCGCGCTCGCTGAAGGTGTCGATGCCTTCAGGGAAGTCGTGGACTCTGTAGACGCAACTGCGCACAATTCTGTGAGTCGCTTATAACCGCTTTGCCGTTACTTATTGCCAATTTATAGACTCAGACTATTGTCCTATCATCTCATAGAGTCCCTGGCCACGTAATAATATGCTACACAGTGGCAGTGGGGGTCGCAAAATGACGATTTATAATAAATAAACCCCCAATGATCCGATCAAAATTAGGGATTACGATCGGATCATTGAGGGGGCACGTGCCACCCCCACCCCCCCCCCCCCACTGGCTCTGCCAGTGGCTTAATGACCAATGTGAGGAAATTTTGAGCGTGTCAAAAATAATAAGGTAAAGATTCATGCGGTGGGAGAATCAATGAAATGACTGAGATAGCATACGATTCTTCTAGAGGTTGTATAAAGTCAAAATGTGGTTCGACAAGAATGCGCATTATTAGTTTAACACGTATCATCCATAATAATTACAGGTTTCTTGGGTTAGATCGCATAAATATAAATGTGTCGTTAAACCCGCCGCCACCCGGCACAGCCGATAAGTAAGAGGTTTGTCACCTAGATGGAAGGTCCGTCACAAGAGATAAAGAGAAGAATGTTGTAGCACTGGCAAAATATATATTTTAGAAAATACGATTGGTATTGAAAATTAAGAAATGATAAATGACTAAAAAAAATAGAACACCGCATTTAATTCTATATTTAAAGCTTCCGTGACTGCAAGGATCCATACTCTTTGGTTCTATTCGGTAAAGTCACGTGGGTAAAAAATAAAACAACAAAAATCACGACGTTTCGGCCACAACACAAGCGGCCTTCATCAGGTGAAGGGACCACTCCAGCGCTGTCCTCGAGACAGCCTGGTCCCTTCACCTGATGAAGGCCGCTTGTGTTGTGGCCGAAACGTCGTGATTTTTGTTGTTTTATTTTTTACCTACGTGACTTTAGCGAATCGAACCAAAGAGTAATACCGCATTTGTTGCATGTGCAGGTTTGTTCTCCTGCATGGATGTGAGAGCTGGACAAAAACAAAAGACCCTAAAAAAGCACATTAGAAGCAACAGAAATGTGTGTGTTTTTTTAGGAATGTTGACTATTTTAGAGTCAGACACAAGATGAGTAACATAAATGTATCAGGGTACACAACGAGAAAATGTATAATATTAGAGAGAGGAAAAGTTAGATTTCTTATCCATGTATTAAGATAACAGGAGACTTATTGTCTACCCACGTGACTTTACCGAAAGAACAAGAGGAGTATGGATTCCTGCAGTCACGAGAGCATCAAATCAAGAAGGAGACTAAATATAAATGTTTGAGCCTGGGAATATTATAGGCACAAGAAGCCGGGGAAAACACCGATTTAAGCACATAAGCAATTTGAACGATTGGATGCAACTCCTCGTATCTAATTCAACGTCCTGCAGTAAATGTCACGGACAGGGCTAAATGGAAGGGCAATGGAAGGGCAACAGTTGCCGACATCTTTGAGAGAAGGACACGGCGCACAGAGAGACAAGTGAATGCGTCTTCCCAAACACGCTGTGTTGCTCACATCATAACGATGCCCATAAATTCATATTCTTAGCTCTTTCGGTAAAGTCACGTTGAAGGGACTTTAGCGAAAGAGCTAAGAATATGAATTACTGCAGTCACGAAAGCTTTAAATCAAAAGATGCCCATAAAATTAAATATTCGCGGCGTTATTATTGCGCTTCGCAACACTGTCGAGATTTCACGCCGCTCTTTTTTCCCCGCAGGCTTAAAGAGAGCGCGGGAAACGCCGCCTTAGGGTGCGCTCAACGGCGGCTTGGACGCATTAAATTCGGAATTTGACGCAAAACTGGATGAAATCAGGCCACAGAAGCCATTTCAAGGTCAACAACACCAGTCGGGGGGGCCTTGCGCTATAGGGGCTGAGCTGAAGGATTTCACGAATTTTAAAAAAATTCAAGGCAATCTTTTAAAGTTAACGTGCACCTCACGTCTTACATTTTTTTTGTTTACGATTTTCCGTTCAGGTTTAACGAGGCCCGTCGATGAGGCGCATAAAAGTGGACACTGGATGCGTGGTTTAGCCTTCGGCTGATTGGGGGCCCTCTAAAACGTCGTTTTATTTGCGCAAGACGGAACTAAACCATTTCCCCTTGTCCATTTACACTTTTGAAACATCATGCCATCATCGGCAGCTGGTGTCACTCGTGACCCGTGACAGCAGTTGCTCTGCATCGCACGTGGGTGGGGGGGGGTATTGCCCAACAAGTGTGTCTGTACCACTACTAACTTCTACTCCGTTGGGCTATGGGGCCGTCCATAAATGACGTCACGCACCTAGGGGGGGGGGGGTGGGGGGTCAGGCATTTGTGACGATGTGTGACGAGGGGGGTTTAAGAAATGTGACGTCACATCAAAATGCGCAACTTTAAATAAATATAGACAAACACGTTCTACTTAATTAAAGACTTTTAAATAAATGTTTTCTCCTACAACATCAGAGTGCAGCGGCACATTAAATACGCACTACAATGACAATAGTTGAAAGCGATTTGAAGCATAATTTTCGATTTAAAGCTTTCGTGACTGCAATGATTCATCTTCTTTGGTTCTTTCGGTAAAGTCACGTAGAATGAGAATAAAATAATAAATTGATAAAATAACACAACACAAGCGGCCTTCATCAGGTGAAGGGGGCGAGACTGTCTGGTAGGACAGGCCGCTTGTGTTGTGGCCGAAACGTCGTGAGAATATTATTGTGTTATTTTATTTGATCAATTTATTATTTTATTCTCATTCTACATGACTTTACCGAAAGAACCAAAGAAGATTTGAAGCATGTTTTATATATTTTTTTTTTGGGGGG